AATCAATATAAAAATTGTTCAGGTATTTTACTTTTTCATAGGAACTCTCCAAAGTCCAGTATATATTTTACACTTATATCTCAATTCCAATTGAAAGATGTAACTACTGTAATAGACTCTATATATTTAGACTATAAGCTCCCTGAAGGCAAAAACTGTTTTTACAGACTCTGGGGTTTTTTATACTTTATGATATTCTTTTATTAATTCTTTCTTATGATTGAATTTATTGGTGGGGCAAATATTCCTTAAAAACAACACAAAAAGCATAAAGAATTCTTACAACTCAATAGTAATAAGACAAATAACCCAATTTTAAAATGGGCAAAAGAGGCACTGTTTCTCAGTGGTTAGAGTATAGGCCCCTGCACCAGTTCTATTTCCGGTCAGTCAAGGGCGCAGGTTGAACCCTGGCCCAGGTTGGGGCGCAATCAAAGAGGCAACTGATCGATGTGTCTCTCTCACATCAATGTTTTTCACTCTCTCCTCCTCCCTCCCTCCACTCTCTCTAAAAAAATCAGTGGGAAAAGTATCCTCAGGTGAGGATAAACAACAACAACAACAAATGGGCGAAAGAACTGAAGAGATACTTTACCAAAGAAGATGCATGGATGATAAATAGGCACATGAAAAAATGTTCAACATTAGTCATTAAGAAAATGAAAATTAAACCCACAATGAGATACCACTACACTCCTACTAGAGGACTAACCTTAAAACTGACCACACTACCTGTTGGCAAGGATGTGGTGCAACTGGAACTCTTAAACACTCTTGATGGATATACAAAATTGCAAAACCAGTTAGGAAAACAATGTGGCAGTTTCTTAAAAAGTTAAACATACACCTACTATATGATCCAACCATTCTACTACTAGGTATTTTCCCATGTCCATATCTAGTGCTATATAACAACTAGAGGTGTAGTGCATGAAATTTGTGCACAGGTGTGATCCCTAGGCTTGGCCTGCCATTGAAGCACGAGTGTCTGGCATAGAAGGGGAGGTCCCAGCTGACCTCTGGGCCATGGGCAGCACCTGGGCCCCCGGGGCCCCACGCGTCCCCCTCCATCTGTGTCACGGTGCCCGAGTTCCCCACACAAAGATGCGGTGACCGCAGCCAGACGCTGTGGGCCGGGGTGCAGTGTGGGCCTCTGGGCCACCCAGTGGCAATGCACAGAAGCCAGGAGGGCAGCATGCTCTCTCCCAGCCAGCCTCGCAGACCAGCTCCTGCACCAACCCACGGGGAGCCTGACTGGCCCCTGTGGTCCCAGCGGCTGTGGCCTGGCTCACCCGGAAGACACCGTGTGGGTGCAGGGTGGGCTCCTCTGTGGGGCGGGCTCCTCACGGGCACCCAGCACCTGAGGGGGGGGGGGGGCTTCCCTGGTGTGTGAGCCCTGGTGTCCCAGGGGAGGGTAGCAGAGGGAGTGAGAGCAAGCTCAGCGAACACCCTGCATTCTCACCGCACCTCCATCCCCATCACCCCTGCCCCCGTCACCCCTGCCCTCAGGCAGCCTGTCGCCAACACCCACCATGTTCAACGCCACCCCCTGGTGGTCAGCGCATGTCATAGCAAGTGGTCAAACTCGCAGTCAAACTCCCAGTTGAGGGGACAATTTGCATATTAGGCTTTTATTATATAGGATAGCACCACAAATTTAGTATAAAACATTGCACATTGATTATCTCACAGTTTCTGTGATTCAGAGTCAGGGCACAGCTTCGCTGGCTCCTCTGCTCTAGGATCTTTCAAAGTATTATCTGAGGCTCAACTGGGGAAGGATTCACTTCCAAGATCCCATGGCTGTAAGCAGAATTCAATTCCTATTAGGCTGTCAGTATGAAGGCCAGTTTCTTGCTAGCTGTGGCCGCATGCCACCCTCATCTCTTGCCACATGATCCTTCACACATGGCCACTTGCTCTTTAAAAGCCAGCAAAGTAAATAGAGTCTCCCCTAGCAAGATGGGTTTATAATCTTGTATAATATAATTATGTACATAACCTTTGCTGTATCTTTTGGTTAAAAGCAAATCACATTTACTTATCTATTATCTATAATAATAAGCATAATATGCTAATTAGACCGGATGTCCTTCCGGATGAAGTGGGGGGGGGGGGGGCTACGAATTTCGTGCATCAGGCCTCTAGTACCTCAATAAAGCTGGAAAAAAAAAAAGAGAAGCAGCAGCAGTCACAGATCTCACCAACACTGAAGAGGGAAAGGATTATCCAAAGCATAAGTAATGAGGAAACCACCTTAAAGTCTATCCACCACATTACACAAGATAAATGAAACTTGTCCGTACAAAAACCTGTACACAAATGTTCTTAGCAGCTTATTTGTATTAGCCAAAAACTAAAAAACAAAACAAAACATCAAATACCAATCAATAGGTAAATGAATAAACTGTGGAATATCCATACAATGGAACACTCAGCAATAAAAAGAAACACCAATTGATACATGCAACAACATAAATGAATCTCAGAATAATTTTACTGATTGAAAGAAGCCAGGCAAGAGAGAATACATACTGTATGCTTTATTTATATCAAATTCCAGAAAATGTAAACTTATCTATAGTGAAAAAATAGGTCAGTGTTTTCCTGGGAAAACTGAAGGGAGAAGATGGATTACCAAGGGGCAATGAGGAAACTCTGCAGTGATAAATGTGTTTATTATCTTGGTTGTGGTGATGGTTTCACAGGTGTACACATATGTCAAAATTCATCAAATTGTACACTTTAAGTATGTGCAGTTTAATGTACCTCAATAAAGCTGCTAAATTATACCTCAACAAATCTTTTAAATGTCTTTTAAAAAACACAAGATCCACATCAATGCATCATCAAAATAAAAATGTATTAGTTACCACTGAGTAAAATTGATATCAAGAAAAAGAATGACGCCCTAACCGGTTTGGCTCAGCGGATAGAGCATCGGGCTGCGGACTCAAGGGTCCCAGGTTCGATTCCGGTCAAGGGCATGTACCTTGGTTGCGGGCACATCCCCAGGAGGGGGCGTGCAGGAGGCAGCTGATCGATGTCCCTCTCCATCGATGTTTCTAACTCTCTATCCCTTTCCCCTCCTCTCTGTAAAAAATCAATAAAATATATTTTTAAAAAAAAAGAAAAAGAAAAAGAATGACATAACTGCACAAAGTATTCAGAATAAGCTATGTAAAAGAGGTGACATTTAAATGAACTTTTAAGGACAAAAGGCATTCCCGGCACAGAAAGATTACTTAATTAACATGTTTATTTGTACACAAGGAGTGTGCCTTTAAGTACTGTGAAGACCTATTTAACAGCTCTAAGCAAATTTCCAGATTGGTTTACTAAATTTGGAGATGGCCAAGGATCGTATGATTTACCTGAACAATTATTTCTCTCTATTGTAGAAGTAAGTAATTACATTAAAAAGCAGCAAATTATATAAATTCAATCTAAATGAATTTTTATACATTTACATTATGTAATCATTATGTAAATGGTTGATAACTTCAAAATTATTATTGACTAAAAAGCAAAACTATATAGCTCTGATTACTCTGAGCAAATAAATCTCTTGATCACCTTAGAATTCTATTTTCTCTTTTGGGGAAGAATTATTAATTTCAGGTAGAGTAACCATGTGATTTATTGTCTAAACTTCTGAAGTGATAAATGTTAATAATTATTTTTGTGGAAAAACAGTACTAAACTAGGGTTGTTACCCCAGGCAAACTGGGATGGATAGTCACCCCAGTTATAGGGAGAGGTTTTGTTTTAAGGTTACAGGTTAACAGATTGCTGAGCTCTACCCCAGATCTACTGAATCAGAATCTCTGGTATGGAGTTGGGAAGCTATAATTTAATGAACTGTTATGCTTGGGAAGCCTTGAACTTTAAAGTGATATCATTAAAGGCTCTTCCAATTCTAAAATTATATATTTAATAAGGAAATTTTAAACATGCACTGGCTACTAGATAATATCAAGGAATGATTAATTTCTTAGTGTAATGATGTTGTGATTACATAAGCAAATGTCCTTATTTTTAGGAAACACACATAGCTGCATTTAAGAGTGATATGTCATGATATCTGCATCTTATTTTTAATTGATTCAGGAAATACATACGCACACAAATAAGGCTGATAGTGGGAATACACATGTTAACTGGACTATTCTTTCAATTTTACTGTATGTTTGAAATGTCTTATAATAAGACATTGGGAGGAAAAGACTATTAGGAAAATTTTGTTATGTTAGACAGTGTTATTGTTATATGACTTTTAAGAACCATGACCAAAAATGTCGATTCAAGTAATTACTAAAAAAATCCAGCCTCTATCCTCCTTTGACTTTTTTCTAAGACAAAATAAAATGACAAATTTATTCACTGCAAGACTGTTTAAAATAGTGTTATGTTTGCAAAATTCTAAATGTATCAAAATGTCAGCTTAAGTAAATTAAGTTGCATTGGTTCATTCAACAGAGAGATTATTAAACAACCATTAAAATAATCATTCTCAATAATATATTGTACACATGTTTTACGCTGTTACATAACTAGGTATGTAACAAAAAGAACCCGAAATTATATCTGTGCTATAACTATATAAAATTTGTGGACTTAAGTGGGCAGAACTGGACGTTTATATGGAATGTGCTGTTTTAGGAGCAGTTTTTTCCCTTTATTTCATTTTCTTATTTCGAATCATGCTAATGACTTTGTGCAATTTAAAAAACCAGTCATTAACTGCTACCTTAATTTGGTCCTAAGGGCAGTAAAGGTCAGTTTATAACTCGTTGAACAGCTGAATAAGACCTGGGGCGCCTCAGTTGATCGATGCTTAACTAATTTGGGATATCCACAGAATCGTTTTGCCGACTACAAAATATAACAAACATTTCGTGTAAACTATACTGCTGAATAAGTTTCCAAAATTCACAGGAACACCCACCACAATGTGCGGGCTAAATGCATGTAAATAATGATGGCAGAAATAATACTACCTGTCATACAGGATGGGCATGTCACCCTTTTCTCCGCGAAAGGCTTCTGGTCCTAGGCTGCCTCTTATTTTCACCAGAATGAGATGGTTCCAGAGCCCCAGACAAGGAAGGGGACCGTTCCCTAGCCTAGGAGGCTGGAAACTGCGCGATGTGTGGGAGTGCAAGGTTTCCAAGACCCTTCTTCAGCTGAGCTCCGCAGCACTAGACTCTGCCCAGTTGCTAGGTTTGGTTGCTAAGGCACCAACCGTTTCGCAGGAAGAGAGAGCGGTGCGCTCCCTTTTGGGGTCGTAGCGAAACCTCTCAACGCCGAGCGCGTTAGTTCCGGAAGGCAACATTCAACTCCTCTAAGAGCGACGGGAAGGCGAGGAGAAGCGGGGAGTGACGCCTCTGAACCGCGGAGGATTGTGGGAGGAGGTTGTCTCCAATTTCTCCTCCCCCTCCCCCTTTTCCCGGCCAAGATGTCTGACATGGAAGATGATTTCATGTGCGATGATGAGGAGGACTACGACCTGGTGAGGCGCAGGGGACGGACCTCTGGGGCTGGAGGGGGTTTCTGTCTTTAGGGGCCGGGGCCGGGGCGGCCGCGGCCTCTCCCCGTAAAACATGTGCTCCTTCCAACTTCTCCAGGTGCAGTGACAGGACGGGTTTACCTCCTCCCCTTTCCCGCACTGGCCGGGGCCCTGCTGCTCCTGCATGGGGGAGGGGAGGGTCAGGGAGGCGGCGTAGGGGGTCTGGAGCATTGCGCTCCAAGTCCGGTGGCCTCCCTCGTTCACTCGGACGCCTCAGGCCTCCGGCGCCCGGTTCTCGGGGCCGCTACCTCCTCCCGCCGCGCGAGCCGCCGCGGGGACCGTGAAGTGGTCTAGGCCCCGGCTCTGCCCGGTCGGGCCCAGCATTGCGGGCCCCCTGCTTCCCCCTTGAACTGAGCGGGTGCACATGCCGGGGGAAGGGTCTGAAAACGGGGGGGCCTTGCTACTCCCGGGCCCGACCGTGAAACGGCGTTTATACGTCTCCTGGAAACAGCTTGATTAGTCCTGTCCAGGATTCGTTTTGGTTTAAGGGTAAAAGTGCCGTGGAGAATTTAGAGCAAAAATAGCTGGAAAAAAGTAGTTGAACTAGTTGTGTTTAAAGAGAAAAGCTGGGGAGGAGGTTCTGCTTTTTGTTTGTTTTGATGGGGGGGGGGGGTAACAAGGGGATTGACAGAAATTTCCCAGGATTCAAAGTAAAAAATACCAGCAGAGAAGACATAAATGTATGCAACGGAATGGTGACTTTTAAGTATTCAGTGTTTAATTTATTTACACGTTTTTTTTAAATTCACTAACATTTCAGGTTGCTACTCAACATAAGATAAAGTGGCCCAAGAATCAACGTCAGCTTGCTTTTTTGTTTGTTTGTTTTGGGGGGCGTCTTGATGCACGGTTCCTGTATATTGTAGTGATGCTGCATTATGGTAAAGTTGAGGGAGGTCTGCTCCTCTTATATTTTAAGTGCCAGAGAGTCTCAAGCTATAAACAGTCGTTTTTTGAATTAGTGTAAAACTTCTATGTAAAGTCATTTCCAATTACTCTTTCCATTTTAAAAGAAGGCACATTTGCAGAAGGGGAGGGGGTGCTTACTATTATTACCTGAAAGTCACAGTAGAGGTCTTGGTCATTGTTGAAGTTACATGTGAAGTTTTGCTAATGGCTCTTATCTCTGCCTTACATTTTTAGTTTGTACAAACCAAACCAGTTGTAGGCAATGCCTTGAGTTTATTAAGAACATGTTACTTGTGCTATCCTAGGCATTTTTTTATGACATGTTTATATTACCATATTTGTAAGTATGGAAGTGTTTCTTTTCTTTTAAATGTGTGTTTTTAAATGTTTCTGCTTATGTCTTACCAATAGTTTTCAATACATAAATGACTTATTAGCACTGTGATTAATTTGAAAGTCATCTACATTAGGCATATAATGGAGGGAAGGCAGTGAGAATCCTATTGTCCCATGAAGTACTCCATTTTTGTAAGAATTTTAATTAAACATACGTTGTTTAACTTGACTGTGTTTCTGAAGCCTTTTAGGGCCTGTACTACATGTACAGCATAAAGTTGAATATACAGTTGTTTTGTCTTTTTTGAAAATTTCTTAACCATAAAAGTAAGATGTTACTTAAATGAAAAAAATTTCCCCCAGCGTTCTGTTGAATAGTTGCTCCTCTCCCCATATCTCACTTGCATAGATACCATTCTGGATTCCCACTCAGATGTCACGTAGTGAAAGCGTTTATGCTCTGTTTACTACTAGTTAAACTCTTTTGGTGGCATAAATTTTATTTAGTAATTTATTTTTTACGGCTTTAGTTAATATCCTTAAACCATTATGCATTTTTTAAAAAGATTAAAGGGTTGGTTGCCATTTCATACTTACATGTTGCTAAAAGGGAAGTTCGGTGTTTTGTTTTAATACTTATTTCCCTGGGTCTTTTTTGTTTGTTTCTTAGGATTTAAAGAGTCTACAGAATTGACTTCCTGTTTTAGGGAAGCTTCTTTTTTATCTAAAAAATGTATTGTTTGTTGGAAATTTTGCCATCACCTCATTTTAGTCAAAATGTTAACTAAAGTCATGAAGATTTCCAAACACAGATATATTCAGCATATCTTTTATAGGTTGTCGCTTGATAAATTTTAATGCGTAAGGTACTTTTTGTTCTTGCCCAGTGTATTGGAAATAGGTAGTTATGCTACCATTGGAAAAAGTAAAAGTCTGTTTCTAAAACTATAGAACATTAGTCCAAGAAAGTAAATAATGATTTGTGCCTAAGATCTAAAAGAAAGGAGAATAAACTTGGTTAAAAAAGAAGAAGATGCCAAAGCCGGTTTGGCTCGGTGGATAGAGCGTCGGCCTGCGGACTGAAAGGTCCCAGGTTCGATTCCGGTCAAGGGCATGTACCTTGGCTGCGGGCACATCACCAGTGGGAGATGTGCAGGAGGCAGCTGATCGATGTTTCTCTCTCATCGATGTTTCTAACTCTCTATCTCCCTTCCTCTCTGTAAAAAATCAATAAAATATATTAAAAAAAAAGAAGAAGAAGAAGAAAAAAACATAAAAGAAATTCAATATTCTTGACTTCTAAGATCTTTTTTATTTTTATTATAGGCGGAAGCAGGCACTTTCTAAGCATAGGAATTTATGTGGCAGGGAATGAAGAAGTAGGAGATGGTAAATGCCTTTTAATCTAATGCTACCTTTACAGATTTATAGATTGCTAGTGTAATAATACTAAAAATTATAGTGCCATTCATTAAGTTGATAAGGCCATTGATGAGTTTATTGTACTATGATTCTATAGTCCAGTCATTCTAGCATGAAATTGCTTATTATTTCTAATGATCTTTTTAGAAAGGGTTTAAAACAGATTGACTTCATACCAAAAGTTATTTTTTAGTAGATCCTATGATAGGTAGGGCATTGTACATTTGCATTTAAATGTATTACAAAGGGGAGAAATTGTCAAAAAAGGTAGAATAATTCCACTTGGTTAAATGTATTTCCAAGCTTTGAGCCTCATTATATTGCCTTAGTCAAGCTTATAGTTGTGATTAGTGAAGGAATGTTTACTAGTATTGTCTTTCTTGTTTTACTAAATGCCCTAAAAATTTACTTCTTTTTGTCTACTTCTTTGGGAAGTGAGAGTCTTAGCTATAGGATATCTTACAGAATCTCTTATTTGTCACCATTTTATGAAGGTCAGCAGAAAATAATGGCTTGAACATTAGTTTCTCATGTTATAAAGATCTTGGAACATGATTTAGCAAATTGAAAAATAACACTTTTGTGTTTTTTAATATATTTTTACTGATTTCAGAGAGGGAGAGAGAAATAGAAACATCAGTGATGAGAGAGAATCATTGATCAGCTGCCTTCTGCACACCCCCTTCTGGGTACTGAGCCTGCAACCTAGGCATGTGCCCTAATTGGGAATCAAACTGTGACCTCCTGGTTCATAGGTCAGTACTCAGCCACTGAGCCACACTGGCTGGGCACTAACTTCTGTTTTTTAAAAATACTTTGAATTGATGTAAACAGAGTATATAATCTAGTTTGAAAAAGAACTGATAGACCGATATAAGACCAGGACAAAAGAGTAGCTTTAGGGATTTGTAAGTTTAGTATAAAGGTCTCACTTTGTCATTCATTGTGCATATAAGGAGCTGGGAGGTTATTTTTCTCTGAGACCGTTGTCCCAATAACTTATTGCTTGGCAAAGAAAATGTTGAGGATCTTTAAATAATAGATTTTTAAACACTATACCTCTTATAAGTCTGGGGCATTGTTTTCTATGCTGAATATGGTTTTCATGAAAATGAAATTTGATTGTACAGTTGAGGCTTCTAAAAGAAACATGATGTGTTTAATTATAAATAATTGGAAAGAGCCCCAAATTATCAATAGTAGGGGGGCACTAATACTATTAATATAATAAGATAATGACATATATTATTGTATATTCATGTGATGGAATGCTATGTCAGCATTTCAAACCATGCTTCTAAAGAATATTAAGTGATATGAACAACTCTTGGTAACTTCTATTGGTCAGGGCTCTTGGATAAGGGACACAAATACATGTCAAACTAGTTTAAATGAGAAAGAGCATATATAGGCTCAAATCACCAGAAAATAAAGGTATGGTTGGATTCACAGGCTCAGGTGATGGTGCTACATCTTTTACAGTGTCCATCTTTCTTCTTGGGCTGCTTTCTTCACTGTGTTGGCTAATTGCCTTCACAGTATATAAGATGTAATGTGGCATCTTCCTAGTATCATAACCCCAAAGATAAGAGGATGTTCTCTACTAGCTCTAATGGGGAAATCCCAGGAAGGTCTCTAGGGCCTCTGTGAACACTGCCTCACTGTAGAGAGGGAGTTGGGTTGCTCTGTCTCCTCTGTAGGAGTAGTGCTGTCATTTAAAATCTTTACCTGGTAGGGGAAAGGTTAGTTAATGCTGTGCACATAGTGAATACATCTCCATCATAAATATATAATTTGTATTACAGTGTTATTGGGAGGGAATAAATTTTATTTTGTTGAGTGGGGAAAATATGGAAAAATATCTGAAAAGTGTCAGAAAATTAAAATTTGTGCATTTCTTAAAAACATTTCACAGTGAACCTATATTACTTTTATTGCTGGGAGGAGAGGGGACAGGTTGCAGAGTACAAATGATAAACACAAATTTTACTTTGATCTTGGGAGACCAAACAGTGATTTTTGTCATTGCTCAAAAATTTTTTAATTTGTCTTAGAAATTGTTC